CCTCTGAACTCAGCCATTGAGGCTGGAGCATGGCATGAACCAAAAAGAAAGTACAGATAATGTGGCCAAAAGAGTAAGTCCAAGTTCATGGGCATTCCATTAGTATCAACTATAAATACCCTTCCTTGGTTGTGTAATTATTGGAGTATGTAATTATTTTAAATCAAATACGGCCTTGATGCATATCAATATTTTCCTCTTGTAGACATGTTTAAAAAAAAAATTACTTTTTTTGGCACACAGCACTATGAAGGCAGAGCCCACTAAGCTTTAAATCGGCCACTATTCTTAGAACATCAAGGCAAAGCTGTTGGCAAATGTAAAATAATATATTAAAACTATATTTATTTTCTAGGAATGTATTATTTTCAATGCCTTTTTCCTATTCAATCTAGCAAAGAAGAAAGGGAAGAAATGGCTATAACTTGATTATGATTATAAGCAGATGTAGATATTAAAATAAATAAGCAAGCATGTAATTTGCAAGTTAGAAAACCTAATGGAATAAGTGAGAAGAGATTTTCCTCTATAAACAGACCCTCCCCCATAAACTGGTTTTCCCCAGACTAATATTCTCCAGAGGTGTTGGGATAAACCCTCCTAGAATTCCCAACCAAGGACGGAAATTTAAAATGACAGAAATTGTTTAAAATTGGAAAGCAGAAAGAATGTGGATTATCATTTCAAAGGCAGTGGTGGGATTCAGCCAGTTCGCACCTATTTGGGAGAACCGGTTGTTAACCTTCTAAGCAGTTCGGAGAACCGTTTGTTGGAAGAAATCTTTTTTTCCCCCCCACTTTACAGGGCTAATCCTGTAAGGAAGGCAGGAAGGAAACATTCTGGTGGTGTTTCTAGCCTAATCTTTATTGCCCTGCTTACAGAAACTGCCTCTCCGGTTAACCCTTATTGCATTGTAACAGCTAAGGCGAAGCACCCATCGATGTGAGTGATGTTGAATTGGCCACGCCCCCACACAGTCACATGACCACCAAGCCACGCCTACCCAGCTGGTCATTAGGGCAGAGAACCAGTTGTTAAATTATTTGAATCCCACCACTGTTCAAAGGGTCAGAAGGATCTAGAAGTTCAACTCAGTTTGGATTTGCAGAAAATGCTTTCCATGTTCAATCTGTTAAAATGTGTTTCACGATCCTCCCAAACCAAATTGCTTCACAGGTAGAGAAGGTAAGATCATCATTTGCCTGGTATAGATTTTTAAATTGGGTTCATTTCCTCCGAAACACGATTTCACTGGTGGAAATCCACAGAATAATGATCCCTTGAATCCCTCTAAGATTCTCCTCTAGATCAGTGTTTTTCAACCATGACAACTTTAAAAATGCATCAATTTCACTCCCAGAATTCCCTAACCAGCAGGCTGGAGAATTCTGGGAGCTGAAGTCTACACATGTTCAAGTTGCCAAAGCTGAGAAATACTGATCTAGATATCTCCTATTTCCTCTAGGTAAGAAAGGACATAAACCAGTGGTGAAATCTAAAATTTGTTACTATCGGTTCTGTGGGCGTGGCTTGGTGGTGGTGGGGAATGTGACTGGGTGGGCGTGGGCATTATTTTTTTATTTTTAAAACCATTTTTTCTACAACCTCTTTGGCGAAGAGGTTGTAAAAAAATGTTTTCAAAAGGCTCTGACGATCCCAGCTGAGTTGCCTGATCGTGAGAGGCTTTTTTTCTTTTAAATGCCTCTGACGATCAGGCAACTCAGCTTGGATCGTCAGAGGCCTTTAAAAGAAAAAAAGCCTCTGCTGATCAGGCAACTCAGCTGGGATCATCAGAGGCTTTTTTTTTTTACTTTTTAAAGCATTTTTTCAGCCAAAGAGGTTGTAGAAAAAATGCTTTTAAAAGTAAAGAAAAAAGCCTCTGATGATTGTGTGGCTCAGCTGGGTAGGGGGGGGGGCAGGGATTTTTGCTATCGGTTCTCCAAACCACCCACCTCCATCGCTACCGGATCGGGTGATCCAGTCCGAACCGGGAATATTTCACCCCTGACATAAACTAATTTAAAAGAAAATGCTGCAGTTTATTTTCTAATGTTGCAATCAAATAGCATATTATCATGAGAAAAAGTTAAATACATGTAAAACTTGTGTGTTGAATAGGCATTTCAAAAATTACAGGCTTGTCTTTGTTGTTCAACAGACTGGAAGCTTATAGTAGAGTAGTTCCAGCTCCTTTTTTTAGGAAACCTTAGGGACTATAAGTGAGAAAGAGTATGAACTTTTAGCTGAGACATTTCCTCACCCTTCAAAAAAAATAATGTATCATTGGGATGGGGGTAAGTCATGAGACTTCTGAAAAAGCTTGGGAAACAATTATGTGGTCAACCTGAAGTACTGCTTCATTAGCAACTGGATGAATTAAAAGGGACTCCATGTTTACATTCTCCTCTTCATGTTTTCGTGAACATCAACCATTCTTCTAGCATTGTTTCTTGATTTAGGGCCACAACCTGACAGCAAAATTGACCCAGACACATTATGAAATGTCTGTAGTTTCCATATTCGCACTACTTAGTCATTCATCTAAAATTACTCATTTCCCATTTGTGAAAGCTTTCTGCTCCTTTAAACCGACAAGAATCATTTAATTAAGTTGAACATCGGTGGATACTTAAAGGCAGGGGTGGGCTTCGAAATTTTAGCAAGGGGTTCTCTGCCCGGTTGCTGGGTGGGCGTGGCCATGGTGGGCGTGGCCTAGTCGGCAGGGGTGAACTGCTCCCGGTTCGGACCGGATCACCCGATCCGGTAGCGATGGCGGCGGGTGGTTCAGAGAACAGGTAGCAAAAATCCCTGAGCCCCACCTCCCATGCCCAGCTGAGCCGCACGATCATCAGAGGCTTTTCTTTTTTTACTTTTAAAAGCATTTTTTCTACAACCTTTTCCGACGAAAAAATGCTTTTAAAAGTAAAAAAAAAGCCTCTGATGATTGCGCGGCTCAGCTGGGATCATCATAGGCTTTTCAAAGCATTTTTTCTGCAACCTCTTGCTGAAGAGGTGGTAAAAAAAATGCTTTGAAAAGTCTCTGACGATCCCAGCTGAGTTGCCTGATCAGCAGAGAGGTATTTTTTAAAAAGCCTCTCTGAGTTGCCTGATCGGCAGAGAGGTGTTTTTTAAAAAATCAGGCAACTCAGCTGGGACCGTCAGAGAGGCTTTTTAAAAAATACCTCTCTGCGGATCAGGCAACTCAGCTGGGATCTCCAGAGAGGTATTTTTTAAAAAGTCTCTCTGACGATCCCAGCTGAGTTGCCTGATCGGCAGAGGCTTTTCAAAGCATTAGAAAAAATGCTTTGAAAAGTTTAAAAAAAAAAAGTTGGCCACACCCACCCAGTCACATTACCCCCCCACCAAGCCACGCCCACAGAACCAGTAGTAACAAATTTTACATTTCACCCCTGTTAGTCGGCCTCCTGCACCATGCTTGGGGGGGGGCGTTTTTGCCCTCCCTGGGCTCCGGAGACTTTCCTCGAGCCTCCAGGAGGGCGAAAACTGCCTCTCCGAGCTCTGAAGGCCGGAAACAGGCCCGTTTCTGGCCTTCCTGAACTTGAACAGTAGGCCTGTTTTTCTCCCTCCCCGAGCCTCTGCGTGCGCCCTGCATCCAAAATGGGCCAAGTGCGGACTCCACGGAGGGGCAGGGTGGGGTGGGCAGGGCCAGCCAGGAATGGGATTTGGGGGTTCTCTGAACTGCACAGAATCTTAGCTAGAGGTTCTCCCGAACCCCTGCGAACCCCCAGCAGCCCACCCCTGCTTAAAGCCCCCAAAGAGGTCTCCTTCCTTTTTAATGTCAAAATGTATCACTGAATTAAACTAAATTTGTGATCAATTGTACTTATGTATTTGGTGTCTCAATATCAAGTTAAAAATTCTTGTGGGTCTCTCACAGCTGCCATACTTCACACAGGCAGAGCAATACATTTCTACTCTTAAAAACCAAACCTGCATTTATGAATCAGCTGACAGCAGAAACAGTAAGATAAGTTGTTTTATTGCAGAAAAGAAGGAAGTCATATATATGTGTGTGGGATTCCAGCCCTTTCAACAAAGCATGTACCACACCTAAAATTTCAAAGGAGATTAATTTTTAGAGAGAACCAGAGGAGTCCCTTATGTGAGCTGAAGACTCGGTGTCCTCTTTGAGGAGCAAACCTCCTGGGCGTGGCTACTAATACCACCAACAAGCCAGGATCTTCTTGGATTGAGAGATATATACTTCAGTCTGACTGCAGCATTAGAAAGAAAGTATGCTTTTTGTACTGTATGCTGAAGATCCCTGGGCACTAAAAGGCTCAGTTTTCCACCATTCTCTTGCCTTGTCGCCCAGTGTCCCTTTAACGACACTCTCAAATTTAACAGTAACAGAGTTGGAAGGGACCTTGGAGGTCATCCAGTCCAACCCCCTGCTCATGCAGGAGACCTGTACTAGGGATTTGAACCGCCGAACTGCCGACCTTTCTGATCGACAAGCTCAGTGTCTTAGCCACTGAGAAAGAAACCAAAGCACACAGCCAGATAAAACAGGGATCTGAAATATTTACTGGACAGTTGGTGACTGGGATTAGGGGGTCCAATGCCAGTAGGAAGAAACTTAATCAACTGGAGTTAGTGCTGACTCCAGATGACAAAATGATTGTTTAAAAAAATTCTAGAATTTAAAAAAAGAAATCATAGCCGGGTAAAACGTTCAAGGAGGTGGAAGCATCAAAGACAGCAAGCCTCAGATCTGCAAAATCCAGTCTCAAGCGCTTAACAAAATAGCTGAGATTAAAAGTTAACAAGAGGCCCCCAGACGCAAAAAAGAAAACATACTGTATATACAACACAATGTTAACTACCGTGAATTTACAGGCATTGATATCCTACTTCTATTTTAGATAGTTTGCTAATTTGTCCTGCAATTAAGATAGAAACCAGATTACATCCTTGGAAAAGAAGGCTACAAGGTCCTTTTTCTCCATATCCTCCCCCCCCCCCCCCCCCCCCCCCCATTATGAATACAGAGCTTCCAGATAATTTGTGGTGGAGTTTTGCTTTGACGCTCTCTTCTCTTCATTAAATAGTCCATCAGAACCAATATTCCGAAACAAAGATGTGGACGTTAACGATGTTACGATGTGAGACAACCCCTCCAACAACATAGTTCATCTCCAACTTCAGGGTGGCGTAGAAAGGACCAATGATGGGCTTCACTTGTCGAACGACCCCTGTGAGAAGAGAGACAGCAACGACAGCAGCAACAATAATTAGCATCAACATTTTTTAATCGCTGTGACATGATGAGCATCGCTTTGGTTCCTTTTGCTAGGTAAGGTAAAGCACATATGTGCTAGTCTTTCCCAACTCTAGGGGGCGGTGCTCATCTCCGTTTCAAAGCCGAAGAGCCAGCACTGTCGGAAGACGTCTCTGTGGTCATGTGACCGGCATGACTAACCGCCAAAGGCGCATGGAACGCTGTCACCTTCCCACCAAAGTGGTCCCTATTTTTCTACTTGCATTTTTTACGTGCTTTCGAACTGCTAGGTTGACAGAAGCTGGGACAAGTAACGGGAGCTCACCCCATTACGCGGCACTAGGGATTCGAACCGCTGAACTGCCGAACTTTCGATTGACAAGCTCAGCGTCTTAGCCACCGAGCCACCACATCCCTTACTTTAATTCTATAAGTAACTTCAAAATACACTAGGACACCTAGATTCTGCACATTGCTGGTCCAATGATTGCAGGAAATCTCTAATTATTCTTTTTATTTCTCAGGTCAGAATGTTGGCCAAACCTAGCAGCCTCTTCAGAGGAAGGATGAGATGACCTTAAACATACTACAAAAAAGATGTTGAGACTTTGTAAAAAGTTCAGAGAAGAGCAACTAAGATGATCCAAGGCCTGGAGACAAACACATATGAAGAACGGCTGCAGAATTTGGGTTTGGCTAATCTAAAGAAAAGAAGAATTAGGAGTGACATGATAATAGTATTCCAGTGATTTGAGGAACTGCCACAAAGTAAAAGGGGGTCAAATCAGGGGTGAAATCCAGCAGGTTCTGACAGGTTCTGGAGAACCGGTTGTGGAAATTTTGAGTACTTTGGAGAACTGGCAAATACCACCTCTGGCTGGCCCCAGAGTGGGGTGGGAATGGAGATTTTGCAATATCCTTCCCCCAGGAGTGGGGTGGGAATGGAGATTCTGCAATATCCTTCCCCCAGGAGTGGGGTGGGAATGGAGATTTTGCAATATCCTTCCCCAGGTATGGGGTGGGACTGGAGATTCTGCAATATCCTTCCCCCAGGAGTGGGTGGGAATGGAGATTCTGCAATATCCTTCCCCCAGGAGTGGGGTGGGAATGGAGATTTTGCAATATCCTTCCCCCAGGAGTGGGGTGGGAATGGAGATTCTGCAATATCCTTCCCCCAGGAGTGGGGTGGGAATGGAGATTCTGCAATATCCTTCCCCAGGAGTGGGGTGGGAATGGAGATTTTGCAATATCCTTCCCCCAGGTGTGGGGTGGGAATGGAGATTCTGCAATATCCTTCCCCCAGGAGTGGGGTGGGAATGGAGATTCTGTAATATCCTTCCCCCAGGAGTGGGGTAGGAATGGAGATTTTGCAATATCCTTCCCCCAGGAGTGGGGTGGGAATGGAGATTCTGCAATATCCTTCCCCCAGGAGTGGGGTGGGAATGGAGATTTTGCAATATCCTTCCCCCAGGTGTGGGGTGGCACTGGAGATTCTGCAATATCCTTCCCCCAGGTGTGGAGTGGGATTCTGCAATATCCTTCCCCCAGGAGTGGGGTGGGAATGGAGATTCTGCAATATCCTTCCCCCAAGAGTGGGGTGGGACTGGAGATTTTGCAGTATCCTTCCCCTGCCATGCGCACCAAGCCAGACCACGCCCTCCAAGCCATACCCACAGAACCGGTAGTAAAAAAATTTGGATTTCACCACTGGACTACCTGCATATCCTTTAAACACAGGTGTGTCTCTGGGTATGGCCAAAAAAAAATCAAGATGGTGGCCAAGTCGGTACAATAGAAGTTCTACCCTGCCGGATAAAAGAAAGTCAATAGGAGAGCTAAGACAAAGCCAGGGAAAGATTTGAGAGGTAGATTTTTTTTAAAAAAAGCCAAGAATGTGCTTTCTATTAATTCAGGGCAACTGTATCAAAGTTTTACTTTGGAGGAATTAGTGGCCTTGGTGAATACAGGTGGCATTAGAAAATTAGGCAGAGCTAAGGAGGAAAAAGGCCTTTTAATACCCCAAGCTTTAATAAAACCTTTTTGTACAGGCAGGAAACGAATTCTTACCTGACAGCTGGTTAAAGAAAAAAAAAGAGAGAGAGAGAGAGAGAGAGAAAGAAGCTGAATAGCCTCCTAGTCAAAAGTCTGTAAAAAGGCTTAAAGAGAACAAGCAGAGGCTTTGCTACTGTTTACCTTTTCTCCTGGATCAGCTGTGACACTTTCCAGGCAGAGATGAAAAAAAAAAAAACCCGGTTCTCTTTGGCTCACTTACTTTGTTTTATTTATTTATTATTTATTTTTAATTTGATTTATATGCCGCCTTTCTCCAGAGACTCAGGGCGGCTTACAGTGCGTTAAGCAATAGCCTTCATACTTTTGTATATTTATACAAAGTCATCTTATTGCCCCCACAATCTGGGTCCTCATTTCACCTACCTTTGAAAGGATGCAAGGCTGAGTCAACCTTGAGCCTGGTGAGATTCGAACTTACAGTAATTGCAGACAGCTGGTGTTAATCACAATGCTTAGTCTGCTGAGCCACCAGGCTCGTATTTACACCAAACTAACATACAAGGTGAGCTGCAGTCAGCTCAGCTCTTGGTCCATCCATATCCCTTAATTTCTGGGCGCCGAGAAACACGCCCAGCCTTTGTCTTGGTCCACAGCTTCACCCTCGGCTCTGCTTTTGCAGCCTCCAAACCAGAGGTGGGTTTCAGCAGGTTCTGACCAGTTCTGGAGAACCGGTAGCGGAAATTTTGAGTAGTTCAGAGAACCGGTAAATACCACCTCTGACTGGCCCCGCCCCCATCTATTCTCTGCCTCCCAAATCCCAGCTGATCGGGAGGGAATGGGGATTTTGCAGTAACCTTCCCCTGGATTGGGGTGGGAATGGAGATTTTACAGTATCTTTCCCCTGCCACGCCCACCAAGCCACACCCACAGAACCGGTAGTAAAAAATTTTGAAACCCACCACTGATGCAGACCCCTTGTTCTGACCCTAGGCTTCCCCAGCAGTATGCACGGTCCCGTTGCAAACCGGTAGTAAAGGTAAGTAGAACCCACCCCTGGTCTTGTACATTATTATCTTCTCCTTGGCCACCATCTTGAATTCTGGGAGTTGAAGTCCACAAGTCTTAAAGCTGCCAGGTTTGACGACCTCTGCTTTAGCAAATTTAAGACATGTGGATTTCAACTTCCAGATTTCCCTAGCCAGCATGCTAGCTAGGGAATTCTGGTTGTTGAAGTCCATGCATCTTAAAGCTTGTTGGGTGGGGATCTCTAGGAGGTGAAGCCCATGTAGCATCAAGGTCTCAAGGTTGAGAAACACGGGTACAACTGTCTGACAGTGAGAGCAATCAACCCATGGAACAGAAGTTGCTTCCAGAAGTTGTGGGAGCTTCATCACTGGAAGTTTTCAAGAAGAGACTGGACTGCCATCTGTCAGAAATGGTGTCAGGTCTCCTGCTTTTGGGGGGCGGGGTTGGACTAGATGACCTAAAAGATCCCTTCCAATTCTGTGCTTCTGTTCTTCTGCTAACTTTGCAGGCTATAAAAAAGGGGAATTCAGTCTGTCATTGAAGTGACACCTTGGAAATGTGGATTGGGGCAAGAAGATAGTTTGAGTGCCACAGGAAGATAGCAACACACAGCTCCTATAAAAACATGTGCTTTTCTGTAAGGGTAAAGGTTCTCCTTGCACATATGTGCTAATTGTTCCCGACTCTAGGGGGCGGTGCTCATCTCCATTTCAAAGCTGAAGAGCCAGCATTGTCCGAAGACATCTCCGTGGTCATGTGGCCGGCATGACTAAACGCCAAAGGGGCATGGAACGCTGTTACCTTCCCACCAAAGTGGTCCCTATTTTTCTACTTGCATTTTTTTACGTGCTTTCGAACTGCTAGGTTGGCAGAAGCTGGGACAAGTAACGGGAGCTCACCCCATTACGCGGCATTAGGGATTCGAACCGCTGAACTGCCGACCTTTCGATCGACAAGCTCAGCGTCTTAGCCACTGAGCCATCGTATCCTTTTATAGAGGCCCCGAAAATATGCAGTCTTTCTCCCTGCCTGATTTTATAATGACCGACCTTTGGGTTGAATATGTATATATTGATTATCATTCCCGATTTCATCATTTCTAGGTTATTTATTTATTTATTTATTTATTTATTTATTTATTTATTTATTTATTTATTTATTTATTTATTTATTTATTTATTTATTTGGTTCGATTTATATGCCGCCCTTTTCCGGAGACTCAGGGCGGCTTACAATGCGTTAAGCAATAGGTTAGCATCAGCACTCTGCAAAAAATCATCTTGCAGATCTTTAATGGCTGTTGTTTTCCCAAGAGCTCTTCTTTAACACCCCAAAGCTTAGGAGCCTGCATGAAAACATTCCCCCTTTGGCACCAAGTAGGTAATCACTTCTGCTGGAGAAATTTTGAAATAAATTGGAATAAGCATGACCACAGCGCCATCTTCAGGCCATTCCATAAGACAGGTTCTAAAATTTACGGATTGATACGGATGATTTGTTTCCCTTGTCCAACATTTCTCAACCTTAGCAACTCATAAGATGTAATGACTTCAACTCCCAGAAGCCATGCTGGTTGGGGAATTCTGGGAGTTGAAGTCAGTACCTCTTGGAATTGCTAAGGTTGAGAAACGCTCCTTAGCCCATCACTCAGCATGTTTTATTTTTGTTTTAATTCTATAAAAGTAAAGGTTCCCCTCGCACATATGTGCTAGTCGTTCCCGACTCTAGGGGGTGGTTCTCATCTCCATTTCAAAGCTGAAGAGTCAGCGCTGTCCGAAGATGTCTCGGTGGTCATGTGGCCGACAAGACTAAATGCCAAAGGCTCACGGAACGCTGTTACCTTCCCACCAAAGTGGTCCCTATTTTTCTACTTGCATTTTTTACGTGCTTTCGAACTGCTTGGTTGGCAGAAGCTGGGACAAGTAATGGGAGCTCACCCTGTTATGCAGCACTAGGGATTCGAACCGCTGAACTGCCGACCTTTCGATTGACAAGCTCAGCATCTTAGCCACTGAGCCTGGATGGATGGATGGATGGATGGATGGATGGATGGATGGATGGATGGATGGGTGGATAGTTGGGTGGGTGGGTGGGTGGGTGGGTGGATGGATGGATGGATGGATGATTGATGGATGGATGGATTGGATGCTGGAATATCATATCAAAACCATTGGGTTCAATGGTAAGAGCTACAACCCAAAAGAGGAATGTCTTACCCACAGTCATGCCATCTGCATAGCGCTTGATGATGTCAAAAGAATCCCGTAAATTTCCTTCAGTTATATCAAATATGATGTCGGCCTCATTGCTCGGGTATGCTGGCGTGATGGCACGAAGGAAAATAATCTCTGAGAAGAGAGAGAGCATGAAGGTCACTTCAGTGGTGGGTTTCACTTACCTTTCCCACTGGTTCACTCGCACGCACGCCACTTCTGCACATGCACAGACAGTATTTGATGACGTCTGGGTGGGTGGGCGGAGCCTCCCACCACTGCTGCTACCGGTTCGCCTGAACTGGGGCGAACCGGTAGCAACCCACCACTGGGTCACCTGAAGATAGCACCATTGGGAAATAACTGCCATAAAGACCGGTGTTATCTATTTAACCAGTTGGACCAATTTAGTTAAAGAAAATAACAACAGACCCAGGATAGGATGTTGGAATTGCTTGGCTGGGAGAAGGAACAGCGTTTTCTCCCTGACTAGAATATTTGCAACTTGATCCAACAAGCAACCTAAGATTTCAGAATCTCATTCTAGAACCTAATCAGCAACCATGGCCAGGTAAACTAAAAGGAACAGATATTTTAAGAATCATTTTTTTGTGTCACTGATGGGATGGAGGTTCCCTGTAATATCATAGAACTTCCTCCATCTTGTGCCTTCTAGGGATCTTGGACTATAAAGGCTTCCAATCCTAACCAGTGTGCTCAACAGACTTATTGGGTAGTAAGGAATCCAAGATACCTAAAATCAGAGGTGCGTTTCAGCAGGTTTTGACCAGTTCTGGAAAACCAGTAGCGGAAATTTTGAGTAGTTCAGAGAACTGGTAGTAAAAATTCTGATTGGCCCGCCCTCATTTATTCTCTGCCTCCTGAGTCCCAGCTGATCGGGAAGAAATGGGGATTTTGCAGTAACCTTCCCCTGGATTGGGGAGGGAATGGAGATTTTACAGTATCCTTCCCCTGGAGTAGGGTGGGAATGGAGATTTTACAGTATCTTCCCCTGGAGTGGGGTGGGAATGGAGATTTTACAGTATCCTTCCCATGCCACGCCCACCAAGCCATGCCACGCCCACCAAGCCACACCCACAGAACCGGTAGTAAAAAATTTTGAAACCCACCACTGCCTAAAACCATCATCACTTCCAACACCATCACCCCACAATAGGTGATGTTCCTCTGGATAATTTTATGGAGCAAGGAAACGCATTACCTTCTGGTCTCGTAAATTCCCGGAAAGTAGGCAGAGAGATAACGGTGTGGGAAATCGTGTGAACAGGGTCTAAGATACAGTTGGCATCACTTGGTCGACAGGATTTAATGCAGCGAATGGTATCTGTCTTCTCATGTCTGACTCTAATGGAAAAGAAAAGATATACAAATTAAGACCAGAAACAAACGCAGGGTTGGGCTGCTGAATGCGCAGATCGCCGATGATGACATCCGGGGCAGTGGGCGGGGCCTCCTGCCGGTTTTACTACGGGTTCTTGCGAACCAGTCCGAACCGGGGGCAACCCACCACTGATGCAGATGACCAGCTGTCTGCAAGCAATATAAATCCTTCTATTCCCCACCATCCAGTCAGAGCTGAAGAAGCTTCTTGGATGAGAAACGAAACGTCTTCAAAGAAAAAATAAGAATGCCCAGTTGCCTCTTGAAAAAAACACACCTTTGGGAGAGTTGAAGAATCAACAGTTAAAATCCTCAGTCTCAGACCAAACAGCTGATCTTGGCTGATCTCCAAAAGCCAAGCAGGATCAAGTTTAGCTCTTGGATGATGGACCGAGAGAAAAATTGAAAACTGGGAAGGCCAGAAGCATTGCTGAAGGCAGCAACAGCAAGTTAACTCTTTCACTCGTTCTTATGCTAGAATCCAGGTAACTGTCTCAAACATATACCTCCAAGTCTCTCTTGATGTTCTTCAGCTATTGTGTGCTGATGAACTGGATTTGTTAAGAGTTTCTTTGCGCCGTCTTGCTGCAGAGGCAATTTGTGGACATTTAATATAACTGATCGAAGCTTGTCACCTGGAAGTAGCAAAAAGCTAGAGCTGTGATGGCTAACCCATAAGGCATGCGCGTCTGTCATTCCCAGTAAGAAAAAAATCTGGTTTGACTTCTATTTTAATCATTAAAATCTCTTCTAGCCAGCTCTTTCTTTGATACCAAAAACCTTTTGCTTTTTTTGTGCACTCCCACCACATAATAAAAATGTAACCTACCTAATATTACATATATTAACAGCTGCAAGAATAGCATTTGCTCAGAAATGGAAGAGTAAAGAAACACCTTCAGAGGAAGAAGTGTTAGGTAAAATCTTCAATTGTGCAGAAATGGACAGATTCACTTTGGAACTCAAAAATAGAAGCGAATCGACGTATTATGAAATCTGGACTAAATTTTATGAATGGTTAGACAAGAGGAAGAACGCCAAGAAGAAGGTGTAGTGAATGTCTAGAAATATATATGTCAATGTATACTGAACTTGTGAGTGAGATATAGGTTTATTGGATATGGATCAGGGGTGAAATGTAAAATTTGTTACTACTGGTTCTGTGGGCGTGGCTTGGGGTAATGTGACTGGGTGGGCGTGGCCAACTTTTTTTTTTTAACTTTTCAAAGCATTTTTTCTAATGCTTTGAAAACCCTCTGACAATCAGGCAACTCACCTGGGATCGTCAGAGAGGCTTTTTAAAAAATGCTTTGAAAAGCCTCTGACGATCCCAGCTGAGCCGTGCGATCATCAGAGGCGTTTTTTTTACTTTTAAAATCATTTTTTCGTCGGAAGAAGTAGAAAAAATGCTTTTAAAAGTAAAAATAAAACCCCTCTGATGATCGTGCGGCTCAGCTGGGCATGGTGGGGGGGGCAGGGATTTTTGCTACCCGTCTCCGAACCCCGCCGTCATCGCTACCGGATCGGGCGATCGGGTCCAAACCAGGAACATTTCACCCCTGATATGGATATAGTTGTTTAGGAGGAATTATGTAGTATGCTTGACATGTTATGAAGTAAGATATATGTAAATTTGTATATAGTTTAAGGAATATATTACTTATTAATTTGAATTAGACAGAAATGTTAGAAACCTGAGATGTCAAATCATGTCCATTGTTTTTAAATTTGAATTATTAATAAAAAAAATTTTTTAAAAAGGCAATGAGCGTGCAACAACCACGTGCCCTGCCCTGCCCTATGCATATGCACACGACCCCCCCCATGTGCGCCTACCCCATGCATGTGTGTGCGACTCCCGTGTGCGTGACCCACACATGCATATGTGACCCCACGCATGCACACACAACCCCCACACATGTGCACACTTCTCTCGCATGCGCCCCGTCTCATTGCATGTACAGCAGATCTGAAAACCAGCTGGCTGGTGGGAAGCACGCGCGCATATGCAGTGGAGCTGAGCTCGGCCAACGGCTCGAGTGCCCGCAGAGAGGGCTCTGTGTGCCACCCGTGGCACGCGTGCCATAGGTTCGCCTATCACGGGGCTAGAGTCTAATCCAGTGTTTCTCAACCTTGATGGCTTTAAGATGTGTAGATTTCAACTCCCAGCATTCTCCAGCCGGCCATCTTAAAGTCATTAAGTTTGAGAAACACTAGTATAATCCCTGGAAACGTTTGAGAAGAGTTCTTATCTGTAGAGAGGTCATATTGAAGCTGCTGGGCAGTTTGATTTAATGTACCCATATCATTTAGAGCAGTGATAGCTAACCTTTTTGCCGTCGTGTGCCAAATGCGGGGGGAGCATGGGGGGGTCGCGGGTGCGTGTGCCCACATCCATAATTCAATGCGCCCCGCCTTCCCGCGCATGCGCACGTGACCCCCCCACACACTTCTCCCTGCTTTTGGCACATGATGGCCCGGTGGGCCCGGTAGGCCAGTTTTTCCCCCTCCCCAGGCTCCAGAGGCGCCTGGGGAGGGCAAAAACGACCTTCCCCATCCCCCAGGAGGCCTTCCAGAGGCCGGTTTCCCGACTTCCAGTGGGACCGGAAGGCCTGATAGTCATGATTTGACATTGGCCAGGGTGCGCATGCGCGCTGGAGCTAAGCTAGGGCAACACTCGCGTGCCCACCAATATGGCTCCGCGTGCCACCTGAGGCACCCATGCCATAGGTTCGCCATCATGGATTTAGAGGAATGGAATAACACAAAGCTTCAGCCAAAAAGTTTGTGAGAATGGGACACAATGTAATTTTTCTGGAATGCATGTATTAATCGAGTAATCTGAGGCAACCTCCAAATTCTTAAGTGTCTCTTGATTTCTGCATTAACAATTTGATCCCGGGGAGATTTTAAACAAGTGAAGATACTGGCTGTAATCTCACAACTGCAGTTGCACACTTTTGAGATACAAATTAAACAGGGTCATGGCAATGATGAAATCCAATTTTTTTTACTACTGGTTCTGGGGGCGTGGCTTGGTGGGCGTGGTGTGGTGTGGCTCGGTGGGCGTGGCAGGGGAAGGATACCACAAAATTCCCACCCCACTCCAGGGGAAGGATACGGCAAAATCCCCATTCCCACCCCACTCCTGGGGGAAGGATATTGCAAAATCTCCATTCCCATCCAACTCTGGGACCAGCCAGAGGTGGCATTTGCTGGTTCTCTGAACTACTCAAAATTTCCGCTACCAGTTCTCCAGAACCTGTCAGAACCTGCTGGATTTCACCCCTGGGTCAGGGTGAATCTTGATCTTCACCTATCATCTTGATCTCCTTCTCACCCACAAACCTCTGGATCATGAGGATATCCAAGCTAGCCAAAATCAAATTATGGAATATCCCAATCCAATAATAGTCTTGAGAAATATGTGCAAATTGTCTTGGGGCAAAACTCAAACTGAGGAGGCAAAATGTAATGCGGTTTATTTATGATGGTTTTTATTTTAAAGTTACATTTTCATTTGGGTTTTTTTATTTATTGATCCCTTGCATTCGGCCATTTGGTAGGGCTGAAGTGCATATCGTCTTACTGTTGCTTTTAATCGTTTTATTAATCTGTGATGACAGGTAGTCCTGAACTTGTGACCACAATTGGGAGCAGAATTCCTGTTGCTAAGTAAGACGGATGTTAAGTGAGTTGTGTACAATTTTATGACCCAATTTTAAATCACAGTTAAGCGAATCGTTGTAGTTGTTAAATGAATCATTAAATCATTTAGTGAATCCGGCTCCACAACACCCCCCCCCCCCAATTGACTTTGGCTTGTGGGAATCTGGCTGGGAAGGGTAGAAATGGAGATCACAGACCCTGGGATGCTGCAACGGTCACAAATACTTGCTGATTGCCAAGTGCCCAAATTTTGATCACATCATGGCTGAGATGTGTGATGGTTGCTGTGATGGTCATAAGTGCGAGGACTGGTTATATAAGTCTGTGATGGTCATAAGTGCGAGGACTGGTTATATAAGTCACTTCTTTCCATGTGATTGTAATTTTGGTCTGATGCTAAATTAATGATTGTAGGTCGAGGACAATCCGTATCATGTTTAGTCAATCAAAAGTCAATCTGCTTTGCTCAGCAGCAGAGGTCTATGGAGATTCTCGGCCATCCAGGTCATGGCTGTCCCAAAGGTGCTTTTTCAAGAGGCAACTGGACTTTCTGGTTTTTCTTGAAGACGTTTCGCTTCTCATCTAAGAAGCTTCCTCAGAGCTGAAGAAGCTTCTTGGATGAGAAGCGAAACATCTTCAAAGAAAAAAAAAACGCCAGGAAGTCCAGCTGCCTCTTGAAAAAGCACTTTTGGGTCAGCAGCAGATACACATTAACAGAGGGACCTTGTGGGTCATCTAGTCCAACCCATACCCCCCGCCCAAGCAGGAGACCATACACCATTTCTGACAGATGGCAGGTCCAGTCTCTTCTTGAAAGCTTCCAGTGATGAAGCTCCCACAACGTCTGAAGGCAACTTCTGTTCCTTTAGTTGATTGCTCTCACTGTCAGAATATTTCTCCTTATTTCCAGGTTGAATCTCTCCTTGTTCAGTTTCCATCCATTATTCCTTGTCTGCCCTTCAGGTGCCTTGGAAAATAGCTTGACCCCCTCCTCTCTGTGGCAGCCCCTCAGATATTGGAAGACTGCTATCATGTCTCCCCTGGTCCTTCTCTTCACTGAGCTAGCCATGCCCGGTTCCTGCAACCTTCCATCGTATGTGTTAGCCTCCAGTCCCCTAAATACTGCACTGCACACCAGAACAACTAGACACAAGAACAGTTTTTCCCCGAATGCCATCACTCTGCTCAACAAATAATTCCCTCAACACTGTCAAACTATTCACTAAGTCTGCATTACTATTAATCTTCTCATCGTTCCTATCACCCATCCTCTCCCACTGATGACTGCATGACCG